TGATGTAATTATTTTATTTTAATTTATTTTATAGTAAGTATATTTATATTTTTAAAAAATGTTTATATTTTATTTTAGGATCCATATTCATATTTTTCTGATGTATGGCAAGAAAGTAAATCACAAAGATTATTAAATACAAATTCTCATAGATCATACACTCCAGATAATAATTATTGTAAAAGTAGCAGTTATAATAACTATGATAATAAATATAAATCTGAAAGTCAGTGGTCTCATAGAGATGGTCATTCAGAGGTAAATTTGTTAATTTGTTAATAAAATAGGTATATTTATTTATTAAGAAAATACAAAATATAAATTATATATTTTTAAATAATATAAAGATAAGTAACTAAGATATATACAATAGAAAAAAATCAAAATATTTATATTTTTGAATAAGTGTTAATATGCAATTCTTTCTGATTCACAGAAAATTTTCTTTTACCTACAAGAAAAGAATTTTATTATTATATTTATTTATATAAAGAGATATTTTATTATGTATCATTCATATTTCATTTGTATTTAATTTTGAAACAGGAGCATAGAAGTTCTCGTGATATACACAGAGATAAGGACTTGTCACCCAGATCAAGAAGTGATCAAAAAAACTATAATTCTTTACCTAATAACAGTTGTTATCGTAATGAAATTCTTGATCATAATTTAACAAAAGTTAGTTCTCAAAAAATTGAAAATAATAAATCATTTATTCTCCTTGGAAAAGAAGTAAATAGAGCAACACAAAAAAGGTTATCGGATGAGGTTATAAACAAAAACACAAGAGAAAATAGTCCAAAGAGATTACGTTCAAATATAAAACATACTCAAAATCTTGAAAAGATGTCTGAGAAAACTGTAAAGAAGGTAATTATTAATATATATATATATATATATATACATATAAATTAATAAATTATTTTAGGAAGATGAAATGGACCCAGAAATGAAAGAATATAGAAAGAAGATGGAAGAACAAAAACGTTTAAGAGAAAAAATTCTACGAGAAAAGGAGAATAGAAGAAAATTAGCTGCTATGGAAAAGCAAAGTACACAATTATCTACTGACTTAACTAGAACAGGTTGCTAACATTTTTATTAAATAGTAATAAGGTTTTTTTGTAATATTTTATTGAAAGTGTTTTTATTACAGAAAATATTAAACAAGAAACAGCAATTACATCAATCACAAAAGAAAATACCAAAGGAAAGATTAATCATGCAGTTGGTAGAAGCCTAAGTAAATTAATGAGTATGCAGTCTACAGAGGTATAGTAAAAAGTATCTCTTCTTTATTTAATTTAGATAATAGTGTAATATAATTAGATTTACACATTATATTCTTATAATATGAAAATAATATCTTAATTAAAATTTTCATATAATTGAACTCAATTTATTAGCATTTAGTAAATCTTATACAGTTAGTATTTTCTTGTATCACTTATGTTTTTATATAAATATATAATGAAAATCAATAGTATATTAAATAATATAAATTTATATAAATTAATGAAATGAAGAGAGATATAATAAGAATAGATATTTAAAATAAGTTCTTATTTTAACTATTTATTTTTGGAGTTATAACATTTTCACTGACATTTGATTTGTACTTTTATATTCAATCAACAAACAGATTAAAAATTTAATTAATAGTGTGTAATACTTAAATCTTCATTCATTAAAATTAATGTAGCATGTTACAGTTAAGAATAATAGTTTAGTTAATTATAGTATATATTTAATTTTTTACTTACATAATTTAACAATTATAAATCTAAACATCAATGTTGGAAAATACTAGGTAGTAATAATATTAAGCTAAATAAATAATATATAAAAATAAAATTTCAATTTGTTATATTAATATAATTAAATTGTTTTTGTAAAATTAATTTATATTTTTATGATAAAATGTTCCTCCTTTGTTTTAGGAAAAAACACAAGGTGCCCGAGTAATTCGTACTGTACAAATTAAACAGGCAAAAGTCCTTAACAATGACGATGACGACGATGATGACAATGACGACAACGACGACGACGATGACGACGATGGTGGTAAAAGTGAGTTACTGACACGAATAGTTATGAACAAGGTAAAAAATACTCACAAGACTCTGCTTCAAAAAAATATTACTCAAAATTCTCAAAAAACCTCAATGAATCAAACCGTCAACGCTAATCGACAGTTGGGACAGATAAGGCAATTACTTACAAATTCACAGAGAATAGTCGTTCATGGTGTTGGAAATATTCAGAAAAAACAACAAATTACCATACAGGATCAGAAACAGCAGCAGCAACGCCAAAGAATCGTAGTGCATAAGCAACCTGTCCAGGAAACCAAAAAAATTATTAAGTCTAATGTTGTGCAAGTGGATAATTTGGCTGCAAGTACAACTGAAACACAAATACGTCGAATGTGTCAAGGGATCGGCAGTATTGAGGTGACTATCTATACGCAATTACTTCCTTTTTAATAGTTGTAGCATTGATCTTTTTTTGCTTTGCTTAAAATAGCTTATTCATGTTGCTGCTTTTTGGAAATAGAAATGAAAAAATAATTTTTCAACTTTTCACAACATTTTGCTTGAACCTATTGAAGGGATAAATTAATTCATTAATTTTTATAAATAAATTAATTTTTAAGAAATTAAACTTAATATATTAATCTTTAATTTTAATCAACTTTGAAATTTCTTTTTTTTCAACATTTAGTTATATATTATTTATGAATTACTTTTAATAACATTTATTTACAGTTAATTAGAGTATTTTCATTTTAAAATTGTTATACACAAAAAAGTGAAATAACTATTAAATTATAAATAAAATTATTTATTTATTTTGTGTAATACTATTTGAAATATTAATAAAAGCATTTCTAAAGACTTTTATAAACTCATCTTTATAAATAATTTTTATAAAAAAGAATATGAATATTTAATTAAATTTTGTTTAAATATTTTTGTACAATTAAAAAAATATTTTATTTAAAATTTTATTTAAATTTATTAAAAAAATTGTAATAAATTCAAATATTAGAATCTTATAATTACATTTTATATAATACATTTATTTTATAAAAAAAAATGTTCAATAAAATGTTAGAATGTAATAAATGTTCTATTTAGTTACTTTAAATGAAGAAGTGATCTTTTGTATTAAAAAAAACAGATGTTAACAAAAATGTTATTGGTAAACCTCATACCTGCCCCCCCCCCCGGTACTTTATATTTAAATTGAATGTATTACAAATCGATAGTTTATTGGTCAAAAGAAATATTTTTTTTGCATGAGTACTTTTTAATTAATAAAATCAATTTTCTAATAATTAAAAAAAACCATTACCAGAATTTATATAAAAATTGAAAATTTTGAAATTGTACTTTAGGCTTTTATATTCTTTGTAAAAAAGTTAAATTATTACTTTCAAGTACTTAAAAGCACTAGATGTAGTATACATTTATTTATATTAAATTAATTGTTTCACAACTCACCTTATTTACAAAATTTATATATTTGTATAAAATTACTTCAATTAAATATAAGTATTTAAGAAAATGGAAACATTAAATAGAATTTTGAATCAAATATTAAATTTAAATTATTTGATTTAATAACATTAATTTTCAATTTATTAAATATAATAAATTACTATGTATTGAATATTAAATTCTTCGAAGTTTGAATAATGATAAGAAATTAAACAATAATTTAATAAATACAACTTATTGTACAAATTCTGTTTTTAAATTGTTTACATACTTTCTTCGATTTGATGCCAAAGATTTTATAATTTACTTATGAAGACATACAATCTCGTCGCTACTTTGTTTTTTATGATCGATCTAATTATCCTTTAATCGTACTACTTGATTTAAAATGTAAGAACCGAAGAAATTTTTTCATTGCTTTGCTTACGGTTTTTAGACAAATTATAATACTTTATTTAAATTAAATGAATAAAATATTTTTTATTTGGTCTACGTAATATATCTATTGTTCGTAACAATGTTTTTATATTTATATTTTAGTTACATATTTCAATGCGCAATTAATTTTAAGATGTAATATAAATAAGGAAAATGAATACGTATTAATCCTTATTTAAATTCGATAAATAATCAATAATAAAAATTGGATTTTTTAATTTTTATAAAATTTTCTTCAAAATACATGTATATTACATATTTAATAAAAAAAGTTTGCATGTTTGAATGATTTTTATCGTGTTTGATATAATAAAAATTTTATTTTATGTTATCTATTTAATGTGTTTTGTATAGTAAAATACAATCTTATTACATTTCAGAATTATATATATATCCATTAAAAATATCAATTATCTTTTCAACTTTTAATTTTATTATTTATATAATATATTGTATTAATAGTTGGTAATAATGGGAATATATATATACCGAAGTAATATGTAAATTTACTGTTTTATATTAGAAACTTTACGCTTTATTTTTATTAATAAGATAATGATTGTTATGATGACTTAGTATTAATATTAAGCTTTATTCAATGTAACAGCTGTTGTAAACACTTCATATTTATCAAAATAAATTAACTTATTTTATGAAATGTAAAAACATTAAAAAATTTCATTTTGAATAAATAATATTTATTTTATATTAAATATGCTCATAATGCATTTTATAAGAGTGTACATTGAGGATAATATTCAATTCTTTAATAATTAAGAAAATTTATTAGTGTAAAGCATGCAATATTTTATTATTATATTTGCCTTTTAAAACTAAAATTATTAACTTTTATTTGTATTTAGTGTATAACCAAAATCTTTATGTACATGCATGAATGTATTTTTTGCAAATATATTTATTTATTTACTCATATGTAGTATGTTATTTTTTTAGTATTTCGTTATTAATAAATGATTAAGAGTTACAGAGTTAATATTATTCGTGTTGTAGAGTATTCAAATGGGCGAGGGTAACGCGATCATCGTCTTTAAAACTCAATCCGCTGCCATGGTCTTTCACAAAAAGTATCAACGAAAAATGCTCGACCTGTCATTGATTAAAGTTCAGCTGATACCGCAAACAACAACCATTAAGTCATCGGCGTTACTTTTGAAAAATTCTACAATGGATTAAAAAAGTTTCAATCGAAAAAAAAACATTACTCGTGGATGGTTAATGAACAAAGTGTGTAATTATTTGGATTGAGGATAAATATAATTTCCTTAACATATGTTTAAATATATTTGTACATTAAAAATATTGCTATTGTTATTTTAAATACGTGTCGGGAAAGACACTAATAATTTTTTCGTTAAAGAGAAAGTATACAAGACAAAAAACATTTATGAATGTATTACATGAGTACACACATCATTTTCATCAGTAGCAGGAATAGTAGCATCAGCATTATGTAATCACTTGTATAATAATAAAGGCTTCAAAGCCATTGTAAAAACTGGTTAATTTTGATATGTGTAATTTCTATATACTTTATACGATTCAATTAACTTCATACAATTAATACAATGTATGTGAAATATTGTAAGACAGTGTACATTTCTTTACTAATTTATCATTTTACTTTAAAGTGACCTAATAAATATAAATTAATTTAAAATTGAAATGTCCGTTATGGCTTCTTTAAATGTAAGTAAACTTTAAATTTATTTACTTTTACAATGTTTTTATTAAATAACCAGTAGATATAGATTTCTCGACAATATGAATACTGTTATTAAATATTTATTTGCATTATTGAAAATCTTATTATTATAATTAAATTTCAATGGACATTTTATTAGAAAATTTTTTTAATTTTCAACTACTAGAAGTGAGAAAAAGGAAAAACATTTAAAAAATTTTAATATAATAATTACACTAAATCATATTAAAATGTAGTTATTCAATTATAAGTTATTGATTTTGTTCCAGTATTAGATATTAATCAATTTATTTTCAAATAGTTTTTAATACCTAAATTACATAAATATTTTTATTTCCTATTCGTAAGTATATAATAATTTCAATTTATCATACACAGTCATTATAATTATTTAAAAAAAAATTTATGACCTTCATTAATTTAATTATTGTTATATAAATTAAAAATGCAAATTCTTCATTTACTTATAAAAGTAACATTTCTAACACATATTTTTATAATTTTGTATTGTAGGAAATTTTTTCTTTACTGCTTAAGAGCTTGTAAGTAAAGATATTTATAGTTTTATACTATGTTAAAGATATTTTTATATTGCATAACTGAAATATAAATATAAAAAATTTATAGGAAGAAATAACATTGTTTTATAAATTGACTGAACATTCCCAATTTGTATTTCGTTTATATAATAAATGAAATCATAAAATTTATGGATGAAAAAGTTTTAATATATTTAAATCGTATTAATATTCATACAATATGTATTTTGTTTACTTTTATAATTTTTCTTTGTTTTTGTTTATATTAACAATAAACGCATTATACATTTACCTATATTTTTTGTAGAAATCATAAAAGAAATATAAACGTTTGTGTCGAATAGTATAAAAGAAAATGAATTACACAGATACACACACACATATATATATATATACATATATGTGAATATATATACAAGGTAATTTATTTTTTCACATTATATACTGAAACTTAATAATTGTTGCTATCAAACTATTACAATACTAACTTATTAAATAGTATGCTATTGGAAATATAAGTATTATTTAATCAATCATCCTATTTATTTGAATGTTTAGTTCATATATTTCATTATTAGTCAACAAATAATTTGCATATTTATTAAAAACCAAAGTGACTAAAAAAGCAGTGAAATATTGAAATTGATCATTTAAAACATGTATTCACAAAAATAGATGAATACTTGTTACCTATTTTTTCATATTTAAATATTCTTATTGTTTGTTTCAGTCTTTAAAGGCAGCACATTTTAGTTTTACATCATGCCTCCCATACCTCCCATACCTCCCATTCCACCCATGCCACCCATGCCACTTCCTGGTATCGGTGGGTCATCTTTGGGTAATTCTGTTACTACTGCCTCAGCAGTAGTTAAAAGTGATGCAACTCCAGCTGCATCAGTTAAAGCTGTACGTACAACTTTTGTAGGATCTATTATGCCTTTATCAATCATGTTAACATATTCATTATTCATGGCATCATAACCAAGTTGTCCCTCTGACACTTTGGCAACAACGACACTACCATCAACTCCAGCATTTTGAGCAATCTGTAGACAAGGCATTCGTAAAGCATTAGCCACAATATCAATACCAGTTTTTTGATCTTCATTTATGGGATTTAATGTCTTCAATGATGGTGCACACCTTAATAGAGCAGTCCCACCTAGTAGTTAATGTTATTTAATATGTGCATTATATTTTTATGGCATTATTACTTTAAAACATATTTTTATAGTTTAATTTGAAATTAAATTAAAATTGCATAATATGTTTAATACTTTAAACTTTTTAAAACATTTAAAACCTTTCAAAGTCATAATTTTTATAATTAAGTATAATGTATTAATAAATTTTTGTTAATATTCATCAATATATAGCACTTAGTTTTATAATTTTCCAAAATTCAGAATTAATACTAATTTTGTTATAAAAACTTTAATTCTTACCTCCAGGAACTATTCCTTCTTCAACAGCAGCACGTGTTGCATTCAATGCATCATGGACACGATCTTTCTTTTCATTGACTTCTACTTCACTACTTCCTCCTACTCTTAAAACAGCTACTCCAGAAGCAAGTCTAGCCAAGCGTTCCTGTAGTTTTTCTTTTTCATAATCAGAAGTTGTATCTTCAATTTGATCTCTTAGTTGATTAGCTCTTCTGTCAATATCAGATTTCTTTCCTTTACCCTTCAAAAGGAGTGTGTCATCTTTTGTAATAAGTACTTCGCCCACCTGACCCAAATCACTAAGCTAGAAGCAAAGTAATAGCACTTTATGTACAGTTCTTTTAATAACTACATAACTTATTTTCTATTTTAATAAATTAAATATACCTGAACATCTTCTATTTTTATTAAATTAGCATCATCTCCAAAAACAATACCTCCAGTAGCAATTGCCATATCTTGTAAAGTAGCTTTTCTATTATCTCCAAAACCAGGAGCTTTAACAGCCACTACTTGTAAACCAATCTTTAAACGGTTAACAACTAAAGTCGAAAGTGCTTCACCGTCAATATCTTCAGCAATAATGACAAGAGGCTTACGTTGAGAATTTGCAAGTTCCAAAGAAGGAATGATGCTTTGAACAGAAGAAATTTTTTTCTCACTAAATAAAATTAGAGCATCTTGAAATTCTACTTTAGCTCCCTTAGAAGAATTAATAAAGTAAGGAGAAATATAACCACGATCAAATTTCATTCCTTCGATAACTTCCAATTCATCATTTAAAGTTTTACCATCTTTAACAGTAATAACACCTTCTTTTCCAACCCTTTTCATAGCATCTGAAATTAAGCTACCAATAGCAGTGTCACCATTTGCAGAAATTGTTGCAACCTGTGCAATTTCTTCTGGAGTTGTAACAGGTTTGCTGAGATATTTAAGTTCTTCTTTAACTTTATCAACTGCCATCATTACACCTAAATAAATTAATGCACTTTAATTGAATTTATTGAATATTTTAATCAATATAAATAATATATAAATATTTACCTCGTCTTATTTCAACAGGGTTAGCTCCTTTACTGATCTTTTCAAAACCTTCTTTAGCAATAGCCCTGGCCAAAACAGTTGCTGTAGTAGTTCCATCTCCTGCTTCTTCATTTGTATTATTAGCAACATCTTGTACTAATTTTGCTCCAATATTTTGAAATTTATCCTTTAATTCAACACCTTTTGCTACAGTTACACCATCTTTTGTAATTTTAGGACTTCCCCAACTTTGTTCTAAGATAACATTACGTCCCTTAGGACCCATAGTGACTGCCACAGCATCAGCCAAGACATCTACCCCTTGTAACATAAGTGCCCGCACTTCTGCTCCAAAACGAACATCTTTAGCATAACTACAAACTTGTAAGTGTATTTGTCTCAAAGCAACACTGCGAAGTAATGTTGGTAGTCTGAACATCTGCAGTGATCAAACCAAATTTATTAAAATAAGTAAAAATAATAAAAGATAATAGTTAATATACATTCATATTAAATTTACATTTCTTATTTACAATATAAAAAATAGTTGAGTATATATAATAAACACTTTATAATGAATAAAAAGTAATGTAATAATATAGAAAGCTGAATAAATTCTTAGAAAATATGAATGATAGCCAATATACTTAGCAAATTTGATTATACCGGTAAATATGGTTATGTAAATCAAGCACATGGCGATAATATTCAGTACCGATTATTTAATTTTTCAATCGGTATTTATGCTTCGAAATTTTTTATTTTGATACAAAAATTTATTTAATAAGTTTATTTTTTAAACAAAAAAGTAAACGATAATAATTTGAATGTTAATTTTTAGAATGGGTGAGGGTGAAAAACAAGTGATCCAAGCAATGAAACAAAAAAAATCATTTCTAAAATTTAATAATGGTTAAAAAGAAGACTTAAAACATTATAATATTACCTTGACTTTAAATTTTTGAGTTTGACAGTACTTTGATAGAATAAAAAGAAACCCAAGAAATTCTTAATACTATTTAAATCTAAACAAATTTAATCTAAACGACCACGGTGAGATGTGCCAACGGAATGAAGAGCTATGCTCAAATTTAATCGACGAACTGAGACTACGTAGTAGAAAAAGGAGAAGTATAGTCACGTGGGGTCTAATATTCATTCTTTGACCCTCTGCTTTATAACCATGCTGTGAATTTTTATTTTTACTTTTCGAAAGGTCTAGAAACTTAACCTTTAAAAGAAAAAAAATTGCATTGCATTCCTTTATTTTATTAACTATTCATTACTTCTAAATACGATTTCACTATTTTTCTGTAGAAATAAACTATTTTCTATTAAGTATCTGTATTCTATTAACTATCTACTATTAAGACATCTTCTAGAACTTACTATTAAATGCATTATATAACAATAATTCCTTTAATTAAATTATAAATATTAGTTTTGTATATTTAAAATATTTTCCAAAATTCAATTTCTCGATTTAAAGACAAAATTAAACATTAAATAATTTTTATGTAATAAATATCAAAATCTTATAATTTTTCTTTAGACTTAGCTATATTTGTACATAATAAAATCGTTTTAAAAACAAATTTATCCAGTAGCCGACGTTTTTTTCTTTTAAAAACATGTTTTTCAATAAGATATCTTATTTCATACAAACATATTCATTTTTATCTTTTTTATGTAATCATCGAACGTAATAACACATTTTCCACGTAATTTTTGTAAGACTGTCGAAATTACGAGAATATTTAAAAATAAAGATATAGAATGGCAAATATAAAATTTTCTAAATATTTTCAATATATCTATTTGTATAAAACGTTTCGTTAGTTAGTAGATTTATGTTTCTAAAAATTAATAATATAATTGTACATTTGTCATAAATTTCATTTATTTGAATTGGTAAAAGCTCAAAGTTATATGCACACTTTAATCGACCTTATAGCAATAGCAGTCTTCATAGAATATTCGAGAAAGAAAGATTACGATACTACGAATCTACGCGACAAAGGGTGGGGAAGTAAGAAAAAGATAGATAGACAGCATGCCATCTTAATGTAGAATCTATTCAGACAGAAAGAAGTTGAACGCCGGTGGAGTACTGTGTTTCCGTGTATTTATAACACGAGGCTCTTACTACTTTGTATTTTATATATTTACAATCTTTTACAAAGAATAAACATAATGGTAAGTTTAAATTATCTTAAATTAAAATTTTTATCTATTAAATATTCTTTTTTATTTGTTTGAATGAAAAATAAGTAAATTTTATAACAGTGTTCGTGTAACAATAACAAATTAGTAAAATTATAAGTAATACACTAATTTCAAAAACCAATAGATAATCAATTCTAGGTTTTTTTCGTGAAAAGAAATTTAACTATTAAATATGTATATTAATACTCCATATTTGATAAGTGCTGATTTTTAAGCTTTAATAGGTCATGTGAATAAAAAATACAGATTTCTGCATAACAGATATACCTTTTCAAAATTTGTATTTAATATTAATACAATTTATTGTAAAAAATAGTTCGTATTATTTCAATTTTATTTTACTAACCTATACAATTTTTTACTAAAGTAAAGATATAAAATCTACTTCATCAATTAACCAATTCAAATTTTATTAACAGATTCTGGCATGGAAATTAAAATTGTTAATCAAACTATTATTTGAATGTATAAAATAATAAGAATATTAATATAAACTAATAAAAGAAATACTTATTGTATATTTTAGGCTGCTATTGCTGTTGCTAAAAAACTGATTCCTCTGTTTGACAGAGTTTTGGTTCAACGAGCAGAGGCTATTACTAAAACCAAGGGTGGTATTGTTATTCCTGAAAAGGCACAAGGTAAAGTTCTAAGGGGAACTGTGATAGCAATTGGACCTGGATCAAGGAATGATGTATATACGTTAATTTTCTCATTAAAAAAAATTATAAATGTGATCTGTAAACACATAAATATATTTCTTTTTTTTTAGAAAGGAGACCATATTCCACCAAGTATTAAAGTTGGTGATGTAGTGTTGCTACCAGAATATGGTGGAACCAAAGTGGAACTTGAAGATAACAAAGAATTTCACTTATTTCGTGAATCTGATATTTTGGCAAAATTAGAATCTTGAAATGTTTGATTTATAGGTTAATTTTTATAATTATGAAATGAATGTTTGATGAAAAATCTGTCTTACTTTTCTTTATAAACACTCGTTATTTGAATTGCTTTTTTTAAAGTTTACTAGTATTAAGGTATCATTAATTCATATAAATTTCACATAATAAAAAAATTTATTAATTTTAATTTTTTATTTTTTAATGTTATAAAATATTATATTTAAATCAATTGTAAAATTCAAGTGTCTATTTTATTTTTATACTTTTTTTAACACTAGCTTTAATACCTGATATTTCTCCTTTATATTTATTATTTTCTTTTCTGATTTCACGTATCTAGAAGTAATAAAAAATTAATGTAATGTATGAAAACAAATTTCAAATATTTAAAACTTACAGCTCCTTTTCTATGTATTTTAGCTCGGCGATATTTATTCCTATGTTTAACTCTGGGATTACGTTGTTCCTTTTTCCTATGTGGTACAAGCCCTTTATTTTTACCTATTTGGGAGGTTATTGCTCTCTTACCTACGTCGATTATGAAGTTTTTAGTATTTTTACAGTCTAAATTTTTTGGAAAGGTTTGATTTAATTTATTATTTGCAATGTTTTTATATTCTATTTGTTTTTCAGAGTTTTTCTTCATTCTTTGAATTTCAGTGTTTATACAAGCTATTTTATTGTGATCCAGAAAGTTATATAAACATTGACTATTTTTATTAGATTTTATTTTGATTTTATCTAAAATATTTTCTTGACTTTTTTCAAATTGAGATATCAATTTTCTATATTGTGCTAATCTTTTAATTACAGGATGAATAAAAATAATCTGTTTTTTAGCTTTTAACATTAGATAAAATGATATATTTATACAATAATGTAATAATAAATTATACTTCGTTTTTGTAAAAGTAATAGTAAAATAATTTTCATAATTAACATTATTTAAAAATTTTAAAAGTGGATCTAAAATTATTTTTGATTCTAATAATCGCTCTGTAAATAAAATATAATAGTATTAACTAATAACAGTTTTATTTTATAATAATAATAAAATAATATATCAATATTACCATGAAAATCAGTTATCAGAAAAATAAGTTCTGGGCTTTCTTTTTTAATAAGTTCTTCTTTTTGTCTTTTACTTAATTGACTTAAGTCTGTTTTAACCTGTTGAGTACATTCATCAATTTGATTATATTCTGATATTTGGTCAATACCGAAATCAGTTTCATTAAGATATTCAATTAAATGCTTTTGTAAATTTCTAGCTTCCTTTTCTTCTAATTCAGCACCAGCAATATCTTTTTGACTAACAGAAAAATAATCAGCATCAATATAATCAGTAAAATAATAAGATTTTTTCTTTTTACCCCAAGCTTTTTCATTAGGCAAATTAAAATGTTCAAAATCTTCAATATCAGATATTATGGAATCTTTATCTTTATCATTTTCATCATTATATTCTTCATTACTAAATCCCATTACTTCATCTTCACTGTCATAATTTTTTTTACACAATTTGTAACTAATTCTATTTGTTAAATTCTTTTGATTTTCTGAATATTCTTTAGAATTTAACATTATTTTCTAATTTTTATATAAAAAAACTTGACTTTTTAATATCTATAATTATAAAATAATTATATTATTATTCATCTTATTCAACATATTATTATAGTTAATATAATTTGCACAATTATATATTTAATAATTCATAAGATATATATTATTGATTCATAAATTACCACTTTTTAAAGACAATAACTTAATAATAAATTCTGTATACTATACAACTTAAATTGAAAATTTTCAATAGATATAATTTAAATAATATTTATATAAACTTTAGAAAAAAGTTTATTATTTATTATTTGTTTTCAATAAAATTAATTCGTATTACTATATATGTAATATAGATTAATAATTTTATGCATAAATAACCTTTTTTATACTATTGACAAATAAAATGTGTTTAATTCATTCAATTATAATTTATTCTAAATACAATTGATTTAATTTGGTGTACCCTTTAATTTTATTCACAGCTACACTTAAATAATTGAAGTCAAAAGATAAAGGTTTATTTTATTTTATAGATTAACACGTGTATAAAGTAAAATTTGTCGATACAGTATAAGAAATTAGATACATAACCTTCAAAAACTTATGAAATTATTTGTCATGTAAAAGATCTCTTAAACGTGTATGTGGAATTGAATTAAAATGGTATTTCAAAATATAGTACTTTTTGCAAGATCTAGAGGACCGGATGAATTTTGGCGTAAAAGAAAAATATTTAGATTATCATCTGTAAATAAGATTTTATTGATCTAATTATTAATATTATGTGATAAATTAATAAATAGAATTTCCTTAGTAATAAATTAACAAATATATATAAATTTTTAGCACTTCAAAGGACGTTATCGAAATTGCTATAGTCTTGCCATTCGTGCTGTTCATAGATCTTTACAATTTGCAACCAAAAGTAGAGATCCTAGAAGAAAACACATTAAAGAGGTTCTCACGTTCTTATCTTATGAACATTTTAAGTTTTTTAATATATTTTGTTCTCCTGTAGAAATAAATAAAGTAAATATTTTGTTATAGATATGGAAAACAAGGATTGAAGCTGCATGCCTGCCATATAATACCAATTTAAAAAGATTAAAAAATGAATTAACAAGATGTGAAATTCATCTTGACCACAAAAGTTTGTCAGAATTAGCTGTATGGGAACCAAAAACGTTTAAATGTGTTGTTCAAATTGCTTGTGAAAAACTTAAACAAACTGGATTAAATTATATTTTAAATCTTGGAAAATCTACTGTTGATGCAATAAAAGAAAAAAGTAAATAATAAACTTAGACAAAGCATAACTTATAAGTTATCTTATAAAATACCATTTTAGAAGTTTCAATGTATCTTTATTTTATGCTTGTAAAATACTTAAGATATTAAGAAATAAAGTATAATTTTATTATGAATTATATATAATTATCTTAAATTAAATGTATACAAATAGAATAATAAATACAATGAATAAATTTTATTATATTACATTGCAATGTATAAAAAATAATTATAATATAAAGTTTATTTCCTTGCATTTATAATTTTTATAAAGTCAGGTTTTAAAGATGCATTCCCAACAAGAAATCCATCTATATCTTTCTCTTTGGCTAAATTTATAGCATTGTCGGCTGTTACTGAACCACCATAAATTATTCGTAATGATTCTGCAGTACTTGGATTAACATTTTCTGCAAGCCATGTTCGGAGTTTATCATGAACCTCCTGTACTTGTTGAGGAGTTGCAGTTTTACCAGTACCGATAGCCCAAACAGGTTCATAAGCAATAACAATATTATTCCAAGATTTAATTTTATCTGCTATTGCCTTTATTTGTCTAAAAACAACTTCTTCTGTTTTTCCAGATTCACGTTCTTCTAGTTTCTCACCAATACAAATAATTATCTTCAAATAAATAATATTTTCATATACTTGAATGTATTACATAACAATCTACTTATATAAAATATTATACTTTCAAACCACTTTCTATAGCATGAAAAGTTTTTTCTGCAATCAATTCATCTGACTCTTTAAAAATATTTCTTCTTTCAGAATGACCAATAATAACCCATGGAATACCATTATCCAAAAGCATTGCAGGGCTAATTTCTCCGGTATAAGCGCCTTTTGCAAATTTATAACAATTTTGCCCACAAATATTAATATTAGTTGGTAAAATACTTTTTGTATATGATAGATAGATTGATGGAACCCCAACTACAATTTCTAAAATGCATTGTCTTTATTATTTATTATTCAAAATTAACTATTAAAATATATTAAGATACATATTAATCCAGACCAAAATTAATATCTTATTTGTCAATTTAATAAGTAAACACATTAATAAAATATTTTCACATAAATAATTATTCTAATTTGATTAAAATTTAATGGAATTGCTTACAATATTTTTCATCTAGATTTGTATCATATTTATTTAAATATATATCTACATCTAATATTTTGTCTTAAGTAAAATTATGAGATTTTTATAACCAATTTAAGGTATAAATATATTTACCCACCTACCGTTGGATCAAGAAAATCATTTTTCAAGAATGAAACAATATCGTCGATTTCTTTTTTTGAACCATTCATTTTCCAATTCCCGCCAACAAAAAATTTTCGTGCCATTTTATTAAAAAGTTGTTAAATATTAATAAAACAATCGTTATTCACAAATAAAAAATGATTGTTAGATAAAATTTTATGACCTTTAAAAAGCTTACAAGGGCAAAACAGATGAAAAATTAATTGTCCAATTAAAATGTACGATCCTATGAACTAAATTTACAGGAAGTTGATTTATTGAGAATATTACAACAAAGTTTATCAATAACAGGAAAATATAATTAAGAATTAGCTAATGTCATATAATTCGGTAATAAATAGTTTTAATGAAATATGTAAATTAAATTAACTTCAATCTTTATATTCTGATTGGTAATATATTTGCGCGCAATATTAAACGTATATCTAGCGAATGATCAAAAGAAAAAATCTTAGACTGAGTTATTAGCTCGTTGAATATTATTTAAAATTGATGAAATATGATGCAACATATTTAATAAACATGTATATTATATTACACACTTTTATCGTTAGATCCTATAGTGATCTCATACGTTAGAAATTTAGAATGCAAATAAGGTTTTGAGAATACCAAAGATTTCATTAGTTCGAAGAAACTATATTTATAAGATAATAATTTATATATTTTATATGTATTATTTAAATTAATTTATTATACATCATCATATTATTAATTTATTAATTATATCATATTTATTTAAATAAAATTGATATCTTTGACAATGACAAAATTCAATGGAATATTAATATATCAAATACTTAAATTATTGTTCCACTATTATTTATCGTTCAGGAGTTTTATATAGCATCTATTGATGATTGCATGACGATATTTATGTATGTCATGTTTCGAGTCTGCTAGATAGAAAAAACTATATATAATATATAAACATATTTTATATATATATTATAAATTAAAAGTATATTTATGCAACATTTATGCAACAATAAAAGAAATTTTTATTGATATGTACTTCAGTAATTATCAATTTAATTTAGTTTCAGGAATAAATGAAAATAAATATACATAGATAAATATACTTAGATAAAAATTGTAAAGTTTTAATAAAGAAGAATGCAGTTTAAAAATAAAATAGCATCAACTATTACCGGATTATAAATAAAAGCAATAGTTTAAAAAATACCATTTTTTAAATATTAATTGATACGTATTAAAAAACATTCAAAAAATTAAGTGTTTATTCAGTTGTATTGTTTGAAACCATTCAAATATATACATAATATATATAGTTGTCGTCTTTGTCAGAATACTGGCAGAGTAATTTTTTAGATACATAAATAATTAAATAGTTCTATTTCAGTAAAATATTTCTCTTTGAAATTTGTTTCAGAAACTAGTATATTCTATTAAAAAAATTATATGTATTAAAATTGTATCAAAAGCATTTTTTGAGCAATATGGAAAATATATTTATATTTTTATATTGATCTAATTTACTACTATATCGATCATGCCAAAGAACATCGATAATGACCTTTTGATGGCATACATAGTTGTGTAAATTTATTAATTAATCTTCTGAGGATAAGTAATATTGTGAAAAAAATTGTAAACATTTTTCCATTTTTAAGAAATAATAAATTTAACACAAATTACTTATTCTTTTAAGTTTTAATTGGAATTAATATTTGTTTATTGAAATTAAATTAAAATAATATTATTTAAATATATTTACTAGTTTTATGGATTTGTATTTACAATTTTTATTTAAATATTGACAGTAATATTTTTATTTATGATTAAACATATTTAAATTATTCTTTTATATTGTAATAAAGTCAAAAAAGTAAAAACATTTTCTTTAACGAAATAATGTCGCAGTGTCATAATTACATTTTTAAACAAGCATTCAGAAACTAGAATATTCCTTGCCCATGATTGAAATAGGTAAGCTTCTAATTCTTAATTTCTCTGTTTACGATAAAAAATTATTTTGTCTAAATTTATTTTGGAGTGGATTAGTACATGAATTAATTTGTTTTGAATTTTATATAACATTAGAAATTTCGTTATTCCAAAATAGTTAAGAAAAACAGTTAGTTTTTTTAAATAAGCATATGAAACATTATAATATTTATAAATATCGTAACAGGAGATGTACTAAATAAATTAGAAATTATTTAAATATTTTTTCTATAGATTTATTATAGATAAAATTTATTCTATAGATTGTATATTACAATAAATACTTAAATATTTATATAACTCAAATATAACATATTATTCAATAATTTTTTTATTAAAAACTAAATGTATAACATTTTTATGTTTTGATAGATATTTTATTGAAATAATATATTTTTTCAATTTGTAGTCTTATACTTCATAATAATGAACGAAGAACTAATTAAGCGAAGTAAAAACTCATTTATTTTTAAAAATTTAACTTTCCAACAAAAATTTCGTCCAATTAGTAGTTCTGGAAAAAAACGAATTTGGAGATCTTTGAAACAAGTTTTAACACAAGAGCGTTCTTTACCTTGGTTTTTAGATATAATTCATTGTAAGCTATGGCCTTTACTAAAGTATAAATATATAATTTACCTAATAATTATTATTTTAATATTTTAGACAGTTCTATAAATGCACCACCCAGTTTCAAACCATCAAAAAAATATTCCGATATTTCAGGCTTACCAGTAAGTAATAAATATTTGCTTTTGATATATAAACTAAAAGATACAAATATTACAGGCGTATTATACAGATCCACAAACTAAATTATATTATTCAACTATAGAGGAGTTTATAACAATTCGTAATTTACCAATGGATATAACTGCTGGATATTTAGCACTTCGTGGTGCGTCAAGCATCGTTGGATAAAATTTTATACAGCTCCTTATATATTATTAAAAAATTAAATACAAATATTTGAAATAGATAAAATTATGTATAAAATTTAAAGGTTAAATAAATACAAACAATTTATTTCACATTTAATCAATTATTATTATTAAAAAAGCTTCTTATTCATCATATCTTAATATATAAACTATAAGCTACAGGGAATTGTAAAGGTGTATTGGATCATTGCAGTATTTATAGCTTTTCACTGATTTAGTTTATCAAAATATTATATTTCTGAACTTATTTTGATGCCAATTTGGTTTACATACAGTTGCAACAAATCTTTTAAGTTGAAGATTCAAATATCATGGCCATTATAGTATATTCAATTTCAAAATGATATAATTTTTCAATTTGTTCTGGTGGAATAAACTCTATTATAATTTCTCACTCTAAATCTGGCATTTCATCATCATCACTGTCTATTTCTTCTTCGTCTATATCTAAATCATCGAAATTAGGTTTACTGTCAAGACCATCAAGATTACCATCACCTCGCACATTACCAAATTGATGTAGCAACTAAAAAAAAAATATATTAAAAGAAAAATATTTAGATATATAAATACAAAATATATTAAAAACATTACATCTTTTAAATCTTTGCTTTTACTCTCATCTTCACTGTCATCTTCATCTAACCATTTATTAAAATCACTTTTTAACCAATGGAACCTTTTATTTTCTTTTGTGAGTCTTGGCCAAAAAGGTGGTCCATTTTCTTTCTTAAACAGTAACATTTCAAAATTCCTTCCTTTTGGACTTTGTACTGTTTTATCTGGCTCAATTTCTTTGTATAAGTTTACAGTAATTTCATGCATTTTTTTTTCAGTTCCACCTATACCCTTAAAGTATATTTTATCTGCTTCAATTATAATAGTAGGATCTTTACAGTCTTCAAGGCAAATTGTTACAAAAAGAATATTATTTCTTTGGGCCCATATTACCGGTGGAGGTAAAATTCTAAAATGCAAATAAATAAATTAAATAATATACATATAACATTATTAATTATTAATAGGTACTTTTATGAAAAATAATTAATTTTATATCAAAATTTTTCTAATTAAAACTATTTTTGTTTTACCAAAAAATGTTTATTTTGAAGTTTATTATTGATTTATATATATAAGTTTAAATATATATATATATTAAAACACAGTTTATTTCACAGCAGATTATATTATGAAACCATTATTTGTTATATGCATAGAAAAAAAAAATTAATTTAAACAATATACAGTAAAAAGCTTTAAGATTAGTATATTTTATATTATATATTAATTATTAATTACTTGATTCAAGTATATTTAATCTTAATATATTATTCAAACAATTATTGTTCAATTTTTAATGAAACCTGTATTACATATAGTGGTTTTAAGAATCTGAAACCACACTAGGATTTGAAAAAATTGCTCATTACTACATTTATGTATTTTCAAAGCACGATAGTGTACATAAAACTATAAATTCGTAAGTGTCATACATAGTACAATAAATCTTTATTTATTAATAATTAGTTAATCTAAAACAGATACAAATTCGTTGATTTTTACGTTTATTTTAGACTTTGCGGCCATGCCGGAATCATGTGCTATTAGAAATAATAGAAGAAAAAATAAATACAAATTAGTGAATCTTTAATATTATTTTTCAATAACAGAAAATATAAATCCTCTAAAAAATGTTATCACAATTACTAATAAAATAGCAAACAATAAAGGAAATCAAAATTATTAATTTTTTAGTTCACAGAAATTTCTAGAATCAATAAAATCTGTATCTCGACATCAACATGGCGTGCGGCTTGGCTCTTTCCAAACCAATTGACTTAAAACTGAATGCTAACGAAAAACCTGGATTTTTTTCAAGTTGATCCCACGAAGGTTTTTAACACTTTCATTGTAAAATGATGAATGGATATATGCACTCTTTTTTTATTATCTTTTATAATTTCACAATATACTTACTGGCCTTCTTGGGTCATTTTATGGCAACTATCTGGTCTTACACGTGAAGGAAATACAGCTCAAGAAGCAAACACAATCAGCGTACGCAGTTCACATGCACTAAGAAATGCGCGCTCTTGCGGTTCACCTTAGCAATGTGCTGCGACTGCGCAACACGTGATCTATATTATGTCTGTAGATAATACATATCTTTTACTTTTGAGAAGAAATTAATGTAAACGGTATAAGATTACTTATATTTTTTTATCTCGTGATCATACAAATATTACCATACTATACTCAATTATCAAACGTATTTGAATATTGTTTTCTATTGGTTAGTAGTATTTTAAATAAGAAAATTATTTGTCTATTTCTTTAATTTAAAACAATAATTTTTATTGTTTAAATAAAGGAAATTTTTTAAATAAAAAGATACAAACACATTAACTTTTTATACACTTTTTTAATATTAGAACTACAATTAAAAAAAAAGACTAATAGTTATGTCAAGTTTCATTTTTGATATCATAAGCTACATCTAGAATAATATGTGGTTGATAGAAAAATGATTAGACTCCAAAATATGTGGATTGGTAAGAGCTAAAAATTTCTGCTTATTTACAAGTTAAATACTCTATGTTTTATTAGTAATGTATTATAAGATAATTATCTCTCAGGAGATAAAAACATGTTTTATTTATTTTTCTGTTACTACAGGTAGTTGATTCTATTTTGAAATTAAATTTATTGAGTTATTAGAAAAAATATAAACATTTTTTATGCTATACTTTGTAACAATCATTTTTCTTTGATTTTTATTTTGTACTAAAGTTAATTATCGATTCAATTTGCATTAAATTAATTATTCTCCATGTAATGATTATAAATATTATATTGAATATCTGTTGTATGGAGATAAAGGAGTTTTGTGATATAAAGTGATTAGATATCAACAAGTTATTATTGTATTTTTAATTGGTATATGTTTTTTATAAGTATAGTATATAGTATTGTTAAAATTAAATAAGAAGTTTGAATTAAACTTTAAAATTTATATAATTTCTATGGAGTTCACTATATTCAACATTCTTTCTAAAACTTAATAGAACATTGTTTTGACAAATATAGTACTTTATCAATATATTCTTAATTAATAAAAAAATTTTTTAAATTAAGTAATCTAAAAACTATTCAGGATGTACATGATTATTGTAGAATATGGTACTTTCAGCCGTTTGGTGTTGTAAATAATAATAGATCGAATAAATTAAGACGTACATTTGGTATAGCGTCAAAAATAATGTTATAATAACAATATAATAATTTTATTAGATATAAATTATATGTTATAGAATTTAAAAGATATAGAATATATTTTGGCATTTGAAAAAAAGAATGTAAAATTATGATTCATAGATTTTTATAATACAGGAAATAAAAAAAGATTTCGATATATTTATAATTGAGTCACAAAATTGTTTTGACATATAACAATTTTTATTAAAAATACAAATCAAAAACAATTAAAATTAGATGACCTAATTTTAATCATTGATTTTTATTTGCTACAAAACCAATGTAATCTAATACGTGAATAGCATATAGACTTTTGTAAAAGCAATACAGCAAAGCATTACATATTTCAATTATGGATATATATTCAGTATACAAATAATGATAAGTAATACTTATAAGCATTATAAAATTTATAAAATATAAATAAGAAAATTGTTAAAGAAAATTTTGTAAAGGAAATACATATTACAAACAGAATTAGTTGGTAAAAAATTGTTGTTTAAATTAAAATCATGGAAAAACAATAATAGATACAATAGGATTTTATACTATCTATAATCTATGTTATACATTTCGTAGTTATACACTGAATCATAGTGAAATTTGAAAAGCATTATAAGATAAGAAAACAATGTTTTATAAGACGTTATACATGTATAACCCATCATAATTTTTTACTTTCAGAAATTTACGTCTAAAGGAGCATTTCTACCCACAGCCAATAAAATCTGGGTTTATTAGTATATAGAAAAATGAAGCAAAAATAAAAACATACATTAATATTTATTTATTAGATATATCATACTTAATAAATCATTGAATTATGTATTTTATAAATATAATAATTAAATTTCTAAAAATAAACTAAAATTAAATTAATTATTTATGCAGATTCAAATAATTTGATAAATTAATTATTAAATTATATAAAATATTTTAATACCAAGGATAAAATCAATAGTATTTAATATTTAATTTATTCTATATTTATTTACTGTAAAACAAATATAATTTTGAAATTTTTTTATGAGAAATAAAATAATATAAATATAATGTAAATAAAATAATTTAGTATAATATAGCACAATGTAATATAATATAAATATATAAATAAAAATGAAACGTAAAGTTAGTGGGCTCTGATTATGTAAAATGAAAATATTTTTGCTCTTAATATTTATAAAACAAAGAGTGTTGCTTTGTAATGTAATTTATAAGATTTTTATATGTACGATAATTACTTAGTAAACACTGATGTATTTAATAAATTGCTGTATTATAAAATCAATTTCATATGGTCGAATTTTAAAATATCGTTCATAATCAATAAAATTAATATTTAAATGTACCAAAGCTTTTTAGCAATTTTGAAAAGAATTCTAACGAAAAAATAACTATTACATAAAAAGATTTGTTGAAATATTCAAATACATATTTATAAAATTTTTAAAATCATTCACGTGCAAAATCATAACACCTGTAAAATTTATTCTGTAAATTATAAGTATTCTTGTATAATTTATTCTTATTTATCATAAATAAAGTGACATTTGTATTTTAATCTATTAAGATTTCTTTACATATACAATAAAAATACATTAAACAAGCAATAACGTTTATAACAATTACATAAAAAATGAAATAAAACATATGGCAAAACAACATCGTTAAATTTTCGTTAGTTTTCTGAAAATTTCTGCTTATCTAAATATCCAGCCGGAGTGTCACAAAATACTTCGACGAAAACTCTCCCATCAGTCCCGTCAGTACATCTGGAAAACACTCGTGAATAGTCATTTTTATTTATTTTCGCATCACGATCGCACTCATTGTTTTTTGTCGCGTTAAACGATCTTGTTTACTTGCAAGAACGTTTCGAGTCTGTTTACGCGAGAATATTTCGAGAGTGTTAGATGTACGTAAACTAACGAGTGGAAAAACTTTTCCAAAAATTCATTGCAACCCAAAACCCTGCACCACGGCATCGGGCAATTGGCACACGTGCGCATTCACCATCATGAGACAATGCGCACATTGTTCTCAAGTACCCCGAAATTGCCTCTCGCACGAACCAGTCGACTACGCTCGTCGAAGAACCTCCCATGATGCTAAGTCCAACAGAAAGGCGAGGCGACCAATAGCAGACATTCCTCCCCAAAGACACTTTTCGGATATTAGCATTTTAAAGCCTAAATTCGGAAGGAAGAGGGAAAGGAGGTGTGCATGGTCAATCATGCTGCCCAAAGGCCGCGCTTTGATTGGAACCAAACAAAGAGAAGGGGTCCCAAATGCACACCAAGGTCAGTGACCTATTTAAGATGGACAAATACAATATTCGGGGCTCAGTTTGCTCAGTCAGTTACTCATTCAACAGTCTCTGAGTCACTCACCCACTCACTCACGTTGAAGTCACCAAGAAAGGGGGAAGTCTCCTCAGCTGAGTCCAAAGAAACTCTTAATCAGTAATCTTCGCAAGTCCAAGAGAGCCTCAGCATCGCCTACGACTCTCATTCATCAAAGTCACACGGTATCTTCAACAACCAGTATGAGCCCATGGAGGTCTTAGTCCGCGCGACGTGAGAAGCCTATATCGCCCATTCGGTTCCATACCGTGTTGAGCCTAACCTTAAATAGAAGCCGCTTGTGCCTAAAAGCACGACGCAGTTACAGTTTCCTCACGTAGCACTACTCAAAGAAGTGGCGAGAGCTGTACAACCTCTCCCTTTTCTCAAGGTAATCTACCATGAAAGGCACTACGTCACGAGGATCAGGAACTTCACAACCTCCTACCTCCAACCGAAGTGCACCTTAACGCCACGTTCCAATCGCCAAAGAGTAACAAAGGTTCATCTATAACCTCATCAACAATAATCATCCTTGTATTTGAGAAGTAGATAGAATAAACAGCAATAAGAAACATATATGTCAACTATTGAATCAATGCATTAACCCTTCCATTTGCCCACGCATTCTCCCACACAACATCTAATGGTTTCTCTTAGTTAATTCTAAACATAAAAAATATTAGATTTATAATATTTAAACTCAAAGTAAAATTTTGAAAAATTATTTCGGAACAACAGTAAGATACTATAACATGATTCAGAGTTGTATTACATTTAGTGTACTAACTAAATATTTCAGTACAATATGTTATAGAATTTTTAATAGATATTTAAAGCTTGTGTTTTTAAATATATATTTAATATAAACTTGTTCTGTTATATTTTATATTTAGAACAATATTAAAACAATTAATTTATTCAAGAATTTTAAAATAATTCATTAAATAATGTTTAAACATGAATATACTCAAGATTAACATTTTGTGAACGATTATTTAAATCGCGAAGATTGTGATTTTAAATAAACGTCTCTATATGAAGTATTTGTAAATAAAATTTATTTCATTTAAAAAAAAAAAAAACTTTAATTCTATACTGAGAAATAAAAAATTCTTTTTACTATTAAATATGTTTTTTTTACTGAAAACAATATTCAATAAAATAGTTATTATTTATAACATTTTTGTAGGAAATTAAATAATTATATTGTTATAAATATTTGTAAAATATTTTTTATTTTTTGAATCAGATATAAACATTTTTCACATGTAGATACCTATAATATACAGTAATACGGAACATTGATATAGAAATATAAAAAATGCTATTTTTTAGTTTGACTTTAAATTATATTTAATAAATTGTAAAATATTATATTGCTTGTTTATATAATTATAAACATTTCAAATAAAAAATAGTAAATATTTGGAGAAAATTTTTTAAAGACGTAGATAGTTCAAAATAGTTTTTAAGATACTATTTAAAGCAATTCTGACAATTGGTTTGAAAAAAAAGTCTGTTAAAATTATAAAAATGTTTCCAGTTAAAATTGTACTCATTATCTGCTGGCCTTATCATATTAATTTTTTTCTACGTTAATAATTTTATTAGTTTATTATAATTATTGCT